TCTGATGAAGGGTCTAGGCCCGAAACGTCAGCCTTTCTGCTCCTATGATGCTGCTTGGCCTGCTGTGTTCATCCAGCCCTGCACCTTGTTGTCTCGGATTCTCCAGCATCTGTAGTTCCTAATATCTTGCCTGAGATTCGAGACTGGGTTCTGGAAGCAATCCTGACAACAGACACAAGATTATGCCGTAGCGGGATTTTCTGCAAGAAAGTGAAATGCTGCAAAACCTCAGCAGCTCAGACAGTATCTGTGGAGAGAGACAATCCAAACTCCAGCTCACTGACCTTTGGGCTTCAATAACCAAGTGCTCCGAAACCCTATCCTTCTCAGTACAGGAGGGACAAACGTTGCTCTTGGTTTGAGTTCGCTGTGTGTAAATTCTTTCACTCTGACCCCATGTTAAAAGGGTTTCCTGGGGCTCCACCACGTTGTTCCTGAAACCACGTGCTCCGTGTCACACTTTCAGCCCCACTGCCTCCTTCCTGCTCAGACACACATATTACGCATGCTCCGTAAACTGCCCGGCTCCGGTCTTTTATTCACACTGATTGGTTCGAGGTCCAGCCAATCCCGGAAAGTTAACCGGGCCGCCCTTCTACCTATTGGCCATACGATACCGTCAATCACCCAGGAACTAAAGCATGCGCTGAGTGAGTATCAGATAACAAGATGGAGAGCTGAACAAAAACAAAGTTGCTGGAAAAGCTCAGCAGGTCTGGCAGCATCTGTAAAGGAGAAAACAGAGTTAACGTTTCGGGTCAGGTGACCCTTCCTCAGAACTGGGGAAGTTGTATAGGTGGAGGGTATAACCTCCCTATTTTTAAACTCCATCCCTTTACCAAAGACGGACACTATTCCGTTTGCCTTCTTAATTACCTGCTGCATCTGCAAACCAATTTTTTAAAGTTCGTCACCCAGGTCCCTCTCCGCAGCAGTATGCAGTAATGTTTCACAACTTAAATTGTAGTCAATTTTGCTGTTATTCCAACCAAAATGGACAACCTTAATATTGTACTCCATCTGCCAGACCCGTACCCACTCCCTTAACCTATCTATGTCCCTGTGTAGACATTCAGTGTCCTCTGCACACTTTTCTGTATCACTCATCTTTGCAAACTTTGACACACTACACTTGGTCCCTAACTCTTAATCATCAATGAAAGAGAGGTTGGAGATTGACAGTTTGCAAAGATGGTAGGATGAAGTGTCAGTCTTTCCCAAGAAGGTTGATGATGGTGGAATTATCAGTGAGAAGGACAGACCCAGGATAAAGAGAATTGTTACCAATATGCATCACATGGGGAGAGGTGGATGGTCAGCAGTTTAGTGGGAACATGGTAGAGGGACTAGGAGTTGGGTCTCATGAACAGGAGCTCTCTCAGGTTAAACTCATCACCAGTCATCAATCTCTCTCTCTCTCTCTCTCTCTCTCGTGAGTGCACAGCCCTATGGCTCTCTGGGACTGTGGAAACTACGACTGCAGGGGAGATGCAACGCACTGCAAAAAGGACCAAATTTTATTTGAACTACTAACAAAAGACCATAAGATATACCAACAGAATTAGACCATTCAGTCCATCAAATTTGCTCTGCCATTTAATTTTGGCTGATATGTTTCTCAAAACCATTCTCCTGCCTTCTCCCCATAACCCTTCATCCCCTCACTAATTAAGAAAACATCCATTGCTGTCTGAAGTATGCTCAATGACTCGGCCTGCACAGCTCTCTGTGTCAATTAACTCTACAGATTCACCACCCTCTGTCTGAAGAAATTCCTCCTTCTCTCAGTTCTAAAGTGTCATCCCTTCACTCTGAGGCAGTGCCCCCGGGTCCAGGTCTCTCCTATAGTGGAAACATCTTCTCCATGTCTACTCGATCCATGTCTCTCAGTATTCTGTAAGTTTCAATCAGATTCCCACTCCCCACCCCATCCTTCTAAACTCTATCAAGAACAGAGAGTCCTCAATAAATCCTCATATGACAAGTCCTTCATCCATGTGATTATTCGTGGAGACCACCTCTGGACACCCTCCAACACCAAGACATCTTTTCTTAGATACTGGGCCTAAAACCGCTCACAAATTCCAAATGCAGTATGAATGGAGCCTTGTTTAGTCTCAACAGTACATCTCTGCTTCTGTTTTCCAGCTGTCTTGAAATGAACGCCTCCATTGCATTTGCCTTCCTAACCACCAACTGAACTTGCACTTTGACCGTAAAAGAATCCTGAACAAGAACTCTCAAGTCCCTTTGTGATTCAGATTTCTGAAGCCTTTCCTCATTTTGAATATAGTCTATGCCTCTAGCTTTCCGATCAAAATGTATTACCTCACATTTTCCCTTATTGTATTCCACCTGCCACTTCTTTGTCCACTCTCCTAGCCTGTCCAAGTCATTCTGTAATCATCCTGCTTCCTGAATATGACCCGTCCCTCCACCTATCATTCTGTCATCTGCAAACCTAGCAACAATGCCCTCAATTCCTTTGTCCAGATTGTTAATGAATAATATGAATAATTGTGGTCCCAACACTGACGCCTGCTGAATGTTACTAGTCACTGGCTGCCATCCTGAAAAAGAGCCCTGCCAGTCACTCAATCCTCAAGCTTTGTCAGTATCTTGGCCCCGAAATCACGGGCCCCTTTCTTATTTAGCAGCTTCCCATGTGGCACCTTGTCAAATGTCATGTGGAAGTCCAAACAGATCACTTCCACCAGCTCTCTTTTACCTAACTTGCTCAGTACCTCCTCAAAGAATTCTAAGATTTGTCAGGCATGACTTCCCCTTGATGAAGCCGTGCTGACTCTACCAAGTACTCCATGATCACATTCGTACAATGACCTGCCACACTGTTTTTGACATAAAGCTGATTGACGTGAGTTTTATCCAAAATATTAAAACTTTACCTTCAGTCCTGAATGTGATGAACTGCAAAATCCAATCGCTGTTGAGATGTGTGAACTCTGTGTTTTTTTCACAGTCTGGGAATTTAAAAGGTCTCTCATTAATGTGAGGTAATTGATGGGATGACATCTCCCTGGAAGTTTTAAAGCATTTTCCACAGTCTGGGCATTTAAAAGATCTGTCTGCAGTATGAACACATTGATGGCATAGCAGTCCCGGAACTTCTACAGCACCTTCCACAGTCCAGGCATTGAAATGATCTCTCCTCAGTGTGAACGAGCTGGTGTTGCAGCAGGTTAAATGACTGAGTGAGTCTCTTCCCACACACTGAGCAGGTGAATGTCCTGTTACTGGGGTGACAACGTCGATGAGTTTCCGGCTCAGGTGGGGAAATTAATTCCTCCCCACAATCACCACATTTTCACTGTTTCTCCCCAGTGTGACTGCATTTGTGGTTTGTGAAGCCTGATAATTGGCTGAAGACTTGTCCACACACACAAACATGTACTTTTCTCTCCAGGGCTGTTTCCTTCCATGTTCAAAATCGGATCACGTCCCATTTGTGATAAAACTGGCAAATCCATCATATCATGTTGTAATGGTTAGTTTGTAAATTTTCCCCTTCTAATATCCTGTGAAATTGATGTTAAACAAACAACAATAGAGTGAGAGAGAATCTCTCACAAGACTCTGGCTTCTATGTGAAGAAAGGGACTGAAGGAGGGGGATTTTCAACACCTACGACTTACCATAACCATACCAGAATCTTCCAAACACTCAGCCTCCACGACTGAAAAGCAGCAGAGTAGCAGGGAATGTGAACACCATCACCTCCAAGTTCCCTCCGGGTCATGCACCATACTGACTTGTCTGACAGCCACCCTGGTAGGGCAGAAATTTCCACCAATTAAATAATTGCAAAACTGATGTCTTTGTCTTCAGTCCCCAACACAACCTCCACTGCCTCACGACTGACTCCATCCCTCTCCCTGACAACTGTCTGAGTCTGAATCAAACACGTCATAACCATGTTGAAATACTTGGCCCCAAGACGACTTTTCAATCACATATCCCCACCATCACAAAGACTGCCCACTTCCTCCCCAGTAACATCACCTGACTCCTTTTAGTCTCTGTTCATCTGCTGCTGAACGTCTCATCCATTCCATTGGTCCCTCTGGGCTGAACTATCCTAATGCACTCCTCACCTTCCTCTCACATTTCCCTCCCTGCACTTGTCTAACTTCCTCTGCCTCTATGAATGGATGTACTTGAGCTCTGTTTAGTGCTTTATTCTTCCTTCCATTCACTGTATCCGATTGAGATTTTTACCTCTATCCATTCTCACAAGCATGCACTGCTGTCTTAGCAGATTTATCTTCCCACACCAGCTCCCACAATGCTGTCGGGGAAGGAGATACAGGTTATTCACCCAGTGATGTAATCCTGAGGTTATCCAAAACTCTGCTGCCTGTGTGACTATTTGCTTCACCCACCACCATGTGCTTGCGCAGCTATACTTCAAGCTTTTCTTCCTTCTATTCAATCTCTTGATAGTGTCTTTTTTTTCTTTCTCACAATGCCCTCCAGCCCTCTCAAGGGCAATTAGGGATCAAGGACAATCAGCGAAGCCCACATCCTAAGAATGAATTTTAACAAATGCCCTCTGAGATATCTGCATTACCTCTAATTCCGATCTCCTGATAATTCTCGAATTCAACTGTTTCACATTTGGTGCCTTCAACCTTCACATGCCATGGCTGTAAACTGTGAAATTTCCTCACTAAACTTCTTGCTCTCTCAACCTAACTTTTTCCACTTCAAAGTACTCCTTGAAAACTACATAGTTGACAATAAAACATTTTCTCACCTTTGATACCTTGTAACGTGATTGTAATCAAAAAAATGCTTCGTAACCACTCCTGACGAACAGCTCGGAAGTTTTCATGATGTGAAAGGCACTATATTGATATAAGTTAATTGCCATCGATATAGACACGTATCCCAGTCCCTTCACCATCACTTGGTGAATAATTCCTTATCTTATAGCATCGTGGGAGCTACTAATGGAAGATAATTGCCAGCACCAAATGGTCAGGAGATGTTCAGCTGTAAAAACCTCATTTAGAGAGTCAATGGAAGTAACAATAAAACACCTAAGGAAGTTGCACCCATTACTGGAGTTAGAGAAGGTTAGAAAATGACAGCGAGTTGATCAGGGAGAGCAGAGATGAACTAGAGTAATGGATGGATATTGATTCAGATCCACAGTAAAGGGGTCACACCAGCCCCAGAGCCGTGTCAAGCTTTCACAGATAAATAAGAACAGCACCAAAAGCTGAATCATGCAGGTTACTGGTTAAAAATACTGAAACAATTTCAGTGTTTTCAAATTTAAAATCAAATGCCAAAGTCTGCAGCTCAAAATAAATCAGAAGGACTGGGATCAGCGGAAACTCTAACCCAGCAATCACGGAAATGTTATTGAGCAATTGATAGTGTGATAAGATTATACACATGAACACAGTGCATTTGGGTCTCTGCAAACAAGTGATCACCACAAAAGATGTGAGCGTCTGTGGGGAGATTTAAAAGGAGATTGATCAAAATGAATAAATGTGGAGCTGGAAAAGCATAGTCAGTCAGACAGCATCCAAGAAGCAGGAAAGTCAACGTTTCAGGTCGAAACCCTTTGTCAGGACTGGGGTTGATCAGAATGGTTCAAGGAATGAGGAATATTAGTTGCAAGGTCAGGTTGGAGAAACTGAAGTTGCTCTGCATAGAGCGAAGAAGACTGACGTGAGATTTGATAAATGTGTCGAGGTTTATGATAGGTTTAGATAAGGCAGATAAAGGGCAGCTGTTACCATTCACTGATAGTAAAAGTATTAGAGACACAGATATAAGATATTGGGTAAGTGTTACTGGGAGATGTAAGGGAGGAAATTTATGTAACTTTTATTTTACTCAATACTTTCATTCAAAGGCCAATAATATCCAGTGCTGAATGAATGAAGGATAACGTGGCACGATCAGATCTTGGTGTATCATTTGGTTTGAGTTTCCAATCAGCAAATTCTTTTCCAGCATGCTGTAAACTAAGTTGACAAAAGCCATCTCAGTCAGTCCGGGACAGAATTTCAGATGAAACAAACATTTTTGTGATTTTGAGTTTGCTGTGTGTAAATACTCCCCTCCTCACTCCCTGTAAAAGTAATTTATAAATCCCATCCCTATTAGTCCAGGAGAGACATTCACAACATTCTGACAGACGTAGTAAGAACTGCCAATGCTGGAGTCAGAGATAACACAGTGTGGAGCGAGAGGAACACAGCAGGCCAGGCAGCGTCAGGGGAGCAGGAAAGTTGACGTTTCGGGTCCCGACCCGAAGCACAACATTCTCTTCCCTGGCCCTGGGTGATTGCACGTGCGCCCAGCTGCCCTTTGCCCCATACAAAGATGGCGGACGATAACGGGGTCCTGTCCCTAAGAGGGTGCAGCGATTTGTCCAGTTTCATGAAACGAGGACAATATTATCTTTATACGAACCCTAGCGCATCCACAAAGTGATTAGGATATCCTGCCCGTTCGACCGCCCGGCCCATCGCCTGCTCCGCTCCGCCTCATTGTTACCTTTTGTGGAGCCGAGGCAAAGTACAACTGCTCCATAGGAACGCTCCGACTACTCATGCGCTATGCCATTGTTGAGCCGCGGAGAGTCTGCGCATGCGCAGCGATAAGGAACACGTTCATCGGGGATGTTAACCAGCGCTCGGAATTCTGGGTTAACGCAGCCGCCATTGTAAATTTTTGATTTTGTAAGTTACTACGTGTACAAGCAATCTTTCTGTTTATCTCTTACAAGTACAACTGACCTATATAATGCATACAATAAAGAATAAAATATCCCTGTGAGTCCCATGTTTACAATATCACAAAATCTGACACTGAGCCACGCAATAAAAGCTAATGTTGCCATACTTGTTCTGGGCCATTATTAGAGAGAGAGAAGTGATGGTGGTTTAACCTGAGGGATAACACTCCTCGGGTGAGCAGAGAGTTTGAAAACGAAAGTCATTAGCGGTAACCAGAGGGATATAATCTCAAACTACTGGCATCATGTGGAAAACTGGCAAATGGCTCTGAGGATGAGTTTGGTTTTCGGAACTGTCTTCAAGGAGGAAATTGTAGATTTCGTGTTCCAGCAAA